GGGGCCCGCGGGTTTGGGCCCCCCCCCCCCCCCCCCCCCCCCACATACAAAAGGTCTAGAATTTGAATTTCCCAAAAGCACTTAGCCTGGTCAAACATGCTTTTGTTAAAATAACCTTAACTGCTTACAGGAACCGCTGCCATTAAGTATTGCGAATACCCATGTAAAGTTACATGGACGTACAGCCACTCGCAGAAGACGGTACTCATTAATATTTAAAAGGGGACGAAGGGGTTTGAGGTGAAGGACAGGGTTAGTGTTCGGGTTTGGTTAGGGCAGCGTTTACCAAGCTGGTCCTTGGGGACCCACAGTCAGCTCACGTTTTTGCTCCATCTCTGCTCCTGGTAGAGCAAAAATGTGGACCACCTGACAGGGAGCTCGGAGGAAGCAAAAGCATAGACCGGCTATGGGTCCTTGAGGACCAGACTGGAAAACACTGGGTTAGGGGAAGACATCTTCCATTGCCCCTCAAAACCAAAGGTCTACTGTTCACTGGGAGGAGAGAGATGCACCATCCATCATACTCATACTCTCCTCTGTTGCAGTTATTTGTTTTTTTTTTCCTGTTTAGCTTTGGGGTTTAGAACTAGGGTTAGTGACTAGTTACAGCAGCTAGTCTGAGGTGGGCAGGGCTCCTGATGTACCTGCAGATAAGTGATCCGGTTCTGCACCAGGCTGGACAGGTCCTTGGCCTCCTTCTCCCGCCAGTCCCCAGCGCCGTCCGCTTGGCTGAGGTAGTATAGATCCATCATGATGGACCTGCATTCACACAGACACCACAGGGGTCAGAGTTCAAACCCGGGGCTAAACAACACCGGCTTACGGATCGATTTTAAAGTTGGGCCAGGTCAAATTAAGACCCAGAAGAGTCCAAAAATCATGGGTGAAACTTCACAGAACATAGCGACTCCACACAGCATACAGAGACTTCACACAGCACAGAATGATTGTATACCACACAGCACAGAGACTCCACACAGCATACAGAGACTTCACACAGCACAGAATGCTTCTATACTACACAGCACATAGAGACTCCACACAGCATACAGAGACTTCACACAGCAGAGAATGATTCTATACCACACAGCACACAGAGACTCCACACAGCACAGAATGATTCTATACCACACAGCACAGAGAGACTCCACACCACACAACACAGAGTGATTCTATACCACACAGCACACAGAGACTCCACACAGCATACAGAGACTTCACACAGCACAGAATGATTCTATACCACACAGCACAGAGACTCCACACAGCATACAGAGACTTCATACAGCACAGAATGATTCTATACTACGCAGCACAGAGAGAATCCACACCACACAACAGAGTGATTCTATACCACACAGCACACAGAGACTCCACACAGCATACAGAGACTTCACACAGCACAGAATGATTCTATACCACACAGCACACAGAGACTCCACACAGCATACAGAGACTTCACACAGCACAGAATGATTCTATAGCACACAGCAGAGAGACTCCACACAGCATACAGAGACTTCATACAGCACAGAATGATTCTATACCACGCAGCACAGACTCCACACCACACAACACAGAGTGATTCTATACCACACACCACACAGAGACTCCACACAGCATACAGAGACTCCACACAGCACAGAATGATTCTATACTACGCAGCACAGAGAGACTCCACACCACACAACACAGTGATTCTATACCACACAGCACACAGAGACTCCACACAGCATACAGATACTTCATACAGCACAGAATGATTCTATACCACGCAGCACAGAGAGACTCCACACAGCATACAGAGACTTCATACAGCACAGAATGATTCTATACCAGGCAGCACAGAGAGACTCCACACCACACAGCACAGAGAGACTATTCAGTCCAGCATCCACATTACTGTCGTACGTGTGACGTTGTGGAGGGCAGACTGAAGCCACCCTTAGTGTCTGAGAGTGGGGCAAATGGCCCACAGCGGGCTGAGGGATGAGACCCATCGCCAGCAGGCAGGTGGAGGAACCAAAGGATAAAGCGTCGTCACGCCACCCCGCTGAGGGAGGAGATGCGGACAGCCAGCCGTGCTGAGTGGCCAGACGGCTTCGGTTTCCTGCAGCTTGGCCGACCCAAAGAAGGCGTGACTGTTAGCGGGTTTTTTTTGTGTGTGGGGGGGGGGGGGGGCTCGCAGCACAGTGATTACAGGAGCAAATTGGGAGCAATTACCGCCTCACTACAATTAGCCAATAAATCAACAGACGAATAAGGCGGCTCCCCGGAAGACATGTTTTCTGGAGACTTCTGATTAGTATTCTCTCGCAGGCTTTGTTTCTCTAGGCCTCGAGTGGAGAGCCAGGCTTTCTGGGAGAAGCCGTACATGAGGAATTAGAAGCCAAACCGGATACTGTACAGCATACCGGATTCCCTGGGTACCGACGTGTATCTGCCAGTGTTACCTGCAAAGTGATTTACAACAATTCCCACCTGTCATGTTTATTTTCATGATTAATGCTTCTAATTCGTATGAAAATAAGAATAAGAAAGAATGAGAAATGAATATTACCCATCACAGAAATGCACATTGCTGACCTCCACCCTCCTAATGACCTGAACATTACTGACCTCCACCCCAATGACCTGAACATTACTGACCTCCACCCCAATGACCTGCGCTTTGCTGACCTTCACCCCAATGACCTGAACATTACTGACCTCCACCCCAATGACCTGCGCATTGCTGACCTTCACCCCAATGACCTGCACATTGCTGACCTCCACCCTCCTAATGACCTGAACATTGCTGACCTCCACCCCAATGACCTGCACATTGCTGACGTTCACCCCAATGACCTGCACATTGCTGACCTTCACCCTCCTAATGACCTGAACATTACTGACCTCCACCCCCTTAATGACCTGAACATTACTGACCTTCACCCCAATGACCTGCACATTGCTGACCTCCACCCTCCTAATGACCTGAACATTACTGACCTCCACCCTCCTAATGACCTGAACATTACTGACCTCCACCCCCTTAATGACCTGAACATTACTGACCTCCACCCCATTAATGACCTGAACATTACTGACCTTCACCCCAATGACCTGCACATTGCTGACCTCCACCCTCCTAATGACCTGAACATTACTGACCTCCACCCTCCTAATGACCTGA